ACTCTTTTAACACCTGAACTATTCCTCCAGCCTAAATTTTTCTAATTACATCTCATTATTTCTTTATTGTGTGGGGGGTGGGGTTCGGTTCCGACTTCAGCATGTGTGCAGAAGTCAGAACCCTTGGCATCTGCTCATAGAAGCCCCTTTGCTTCTGGAGGCTGAAGAGAGGAGGCAAGCGTTTGCTGTGGATTCTAGAAGTGCCCTTCGTTGGCTCCACACCTGGGTAAGGGACATCCTGAAAGGGAGAGAGACTAGAATGTCCAGTGGGCAGAAGTAATTCCTCTCCTTGAGGAATAGGACACTGATTTTTCTAGAAGGAGATTGGGAGCAAAAGGGGTTACAATTCTCTATCTGGGCAGAGGAGCAGAATGAGGGGTCTCGGCTTCATCCTGAAGCTGCTCGAATACCAGCCCTAGGAACTGAACCAAGTGTAGTCAAGCCACCCGTCACTCCTACCGCCTTCTGTTCCTTCTTGGTCTGGTCTTTTTCTCGGCCCAAGCCTCGTGGAGGTCAGATCCTGCGAGGGCCACACAGGAAGGATTATGGGGTAGGGTTCTGCCTAGCCCCTGTACCACCTCGCTAAACCTAGACATGCAGAGAGGCTTAGAGGTGCTGAGGTGGGCAGGGACCTGTAGGGCACCTAGACTCTGTCCAGGACTGACCGTGTCAAGCCACCCAGTCAGACTGACCTCTGTCTTCCACAGTCGCCCCTCAGACCCTGAGGAACATCCCAACGGAGATGCAGCCTCTGTGACCCCTAACCCTGGAGCAAGATGGCATGTGGAAAGGATGCCTGGGACAGATGGGGCGGGGAGAAGGGTAGGAAGCTGGCGCAAGGGGTGAGGAATAGAAGAGACCAGGAAAGGATGGAAGGCCGAGAGAACAGCTGGGAAGGCCGAGACACTGGTGGCTTCCGGGAAGGCCACGCTGCTGATTCAGTTCTCAGCTTTCACTTGATGGTTCACAACCCTCTGTAACTACAGTCCCAGGGAATCTCAGGCCCTTGTCTGACCTCTGCAGACACCAGATAGCTCAGGAGCTGAGCGGAACACACACATAGTGCAGACACACACGACGGAAAAACATTCATACACATAAGTAAATCTAAAATTTTAGAAAAAAAGAAAAGAAAAGCTAATGAGAAGAAAGGGGAAGGAGGGACAGAGGCCAAGTGCTGGTGCCATCTTTGCTCCAAAATTAGACGTGCCAACAGGGGAAAACATGCCAATGTACTGTGTGTGTGCCTTGTTGCTGGACTTGGGCGTTTTTCTAAGTCTCTAGCTGTGGCTGAGGTCATGGAAATGGCCCTAGCAGGTTATCTTTTCCTCCTTTTCCCTTCTCTTCTCCTCCTCCTCCTTCCTCTGTGGTGCTGGGGACCAAATCCAGGCTAGGGAAGCATTCCTGAGCCACAGCCACATCCTAGCTTCCCTGCCTGAGAGCGGGTGTTCGAATATGTGCCTGTGGGGGACTTGCAAGCCGGGCTCTGGGCGGGGCGAGGGGGGGCGGCTGCCTCTCAGCGGGCGGGCCCTGATGGTAGAGCACCTAGAGAGATAACAGGTAGCACTGTCTCCCTTAGGTCTGTGTAAGTGTCTGCACCTTCTCCCGCAGCACAGTCTTGGGCAAGTGTACGCTGCACTGGAAACAAGGGTAGGTCCCTCAGGCTGTGTCCTGGCTGTGATGGAATCGGGGCTGAGATGGTCACCCCTGGCTTGCCCTCTTACTTCTCGGCCACTCTCGCTAATTCTGTCCCTCATCATACCTTGCTCTGCCTCCCTTGTCCACTAATGTCCCACCTCTCTGATTTTATTTCGGTCTCAACCAGAGAATCGCTAAAGCACCCTCTTCAGGCCTCCCTGGGTCTCAGGCCTTTCCTTTTTCTGAGCTTGGGGCTGCCTTTGTCCTGAGTATTATGTGGGTATCCGGGAGCTCCAGAAGGCTTCCCTTATAAAGTTTTATGCCTTCTGAGCATGAGGGCGTGGACTGCCCACGACTTTGAGTTCGGGGATTAGCCAATGTTCGAAAGTTCGCACTCCAAGCTTTTCCCTCCCTTCTCCAGAGATAGAGACAGACACCAGGATTCATTTTTAAAAGTTTATTTTCCATGCAACAGGGGCAAGGTGTTGTGGCGACGGTTCAGTAAACCCGGGGCTTGGCAGAATCCACAGACTCCCGCGTCCCGGCCATCTGCACCAGGCGCAGCAGCAGCGCTCGGGTGGCCCCGTCCAGCTGCGTGCCGTTGCTCGGCTCGCGAGCGCGGGTGAGGCGGACAAAATCCTCGCGGCACTCGGGCTCGATCACGCAGCTCTCTGAGGGAAAGGCTCTGTGAGCGCAGGCGCCCTGGAGTGGGCGCAGCTCCCAGATCGTGGTTCCAACGCTGCCCTCCCGCCGCGACCCCACCACCCCCAGCCCCGACACGTTCCAATTCTCTCTTCGTTTTCACCCTCCAACTCTGTGTCCCTGCCCCCACCTCGCGCCCCCATCCCCAACCCCCTACCTAATGCTCCCCCATTCACCCTCCCAACCCACCCCCACCTCGCGCCCCATGCCCAGCTCCCCACTAACGCCCCCTCCACCCTCACACACCCCCTGTCCCCCTCCCCACCCCCGCCAGCTCGGCCTCGTGCGCACCGTCGCTGCAGCAGATGCCCGCGGCGGCGCAGCGGCCTCCGCTCCCGCACGGCTTCTGGCCAGACTGGCAGGGCGAGGGCAGGTAGTTCTCCTCCTGGCAGCGCCGCGCTTCGGCGGTGCCCACGAAGCAGCCCAGCTCGTCGGCGCAGCAGATGTTCGGCCCGAAGCAGCGGCCTTGGTCGCCCGGGCCGCAGGGGAGGCACTGCGGGGAAGGACGCTAGTGAGCGGCGGTGGGAACCCAGGGCCACTCTGCTGCTGTCCTGGTCTCGCGCTGCAGGGGCCCTGGCGCTATCCGGGCCGAAACAGCAGCCAAGGGCAGGAGTGGAAATCTAAACTGCTAGGTTATCAGGAGGATCAGTTCTCACTAGGAGCTCTCAAAACCCTCACCTGGGTTGGCCGAGTGTCCCCTGGGCTGCAGTACTTGGGGACATTGCTCAGCTCTGAGATGTCATTGGTGTGCAGCAATCGCTTAGAGGCTTCCTTCTCTGACATTCGGTGGTCCTCCGTCCCCCTCCCTCACCCCCACGGAGCACTCCTGCTTCTTAAGAATACAGCATTCACGCCCTTTCTCTCATTTTCTGCCCTTGCTCTTACTCCGGCCTGAAGCTGGTAGGCCTTACCTGAGTCTTAACCTCTTGCCAACCTATTATGCCCTATGAAGTGGGTGGCAGGACCCAAATGAGAGCGATGCATGCATGGGAACCTGGTGCCTCAAGCTTCCCAAGGAACTCAGCAAACGGAAGGTGGACTCGGGGAGCTTGTTCGACAACTCAAAATCGAGCCACCGTGCCTGAACAAAACTGAGCCTGGCGACTGGATGCCCTTGACCTCAGCTGGACATGCAGACAGGAGATTTGGGCAAGAGGTTG